AACAAAAGTATCTAATATGTATGAAGTCATGTAAATGGTAAAATAATTACAAATTCATACCTTGATGTGCCAGTTGCAGTACTGCAATCGTCTATGATTCAACACCATCTAAATACTCCGCAGGTTATGCAGTCCACCAGCAGTCACTGGCATCAGCGTTACTATGAAATTTCACTGGGGATCGAGGCAATATTCGCGAAATTTCATTTAAGTGTACTTGGAAGTGCCAGTGAAACTTGGGAAAAATAAATTCCCACACGTATATTGAGGCTCTTTTCTGGGCCATTATATTTAGAGACATGAACAAAAATACTGGTCATTTTATGTATGTAATGAAAAATAAAATGACCATTATACTGCCCATAAAAAAAAAATGTTCATCAACTCCATCATTCAAAAAGCAATTGTAATTATTCTGACCAGTATAAAAAACATGGGTCATTAAAACCACCATTTTAAAAACACTGGTAAATATTTTGGTCACTTAAAAAATTCTGGTCAATACTCTGGCCATTAAGAAAATAGTGGCCATTATAATGGCCAGAAGTGACTTTTTAAAGGGGTCTGAGGGGTGTAAAAACAGTGTTAAAGTGAAATGAAGAATTATTATAACCTTCTCACTAACCTAAAAGCACAAATAAATATTCAAAAGTTTTGAAAATTAAAACTTTCCGAAACGCGACGGAATTTCCGAAAGTAATCCGGACGCTGTTTTAACAGTAATATTGTTTCTGGTCTGGATTAATTCTGATCGATTTATTGCACAATTCGTTATTAGTACATGTGAAAGAAAGTCAAACATTAACACATTCCACTGCTTTCCCTGTATATTTGGTTTTGGTATATGGTTGAAATTAAGAGTGTGAAAGGTTGTAACGATATTGACATACAGAACCAAGAAACAAACACTGTTCTATGCTTTTAAGACATCATCTGTAGACAATCAGCTAACATCTGTGGGATATGTGGTGATGTGTTTGGACGTAAACGATGACCTTGGTTGCGCTGGGTCACACAAAAGTACTTAAAAAATCCAGGCAATTATGTAGAAGACACTAGGTTGGTATACTGCATTCATATTTTGACTTTAGGGTCTTGATATTGTGGTGCAAGTAATATAATTTTCAAAAGATCAGCATCATAATTACACATACAGAGTGAAACAATCTGTATCAAGATTACAAGTTTGTCAGTACGTAAATTTAAGTTTATCTGCAATAGCAGCAATTGTAGCGTCTTTAATCAAATGCGATATTTGAGATCCAAACTAGACTGTCAAAACTAATAAAATCAAATGAGCCATAGCATTTGCGAATAAATATATAAGTAACATATAGTACTATACGCAACGAAATTTATAAATGATCAGCCACTCCCAATCGCGTGTTTTTCTTTTAAATCACAGCAATTTTTGAATTTTACACTAAAACTATCAGGAGACAAAACCTGATCCAGTTTCCAAGCAATCATCATCCTTGCTGCCATAATCCCAATCTCATCAGCTGCACTAGCACCATGTCTATTACCACCAACTGCCACTCTCAGTGTAGGTGTCACTATATCACAGTACACATGGCCAGTCGGTGTAGTTGTTATAACACAAGAACCGCCATGTGCTGACACAGGCTTCACTCCTGGTAAAACATCTAGGGAACTTAAATGTATTTGGTAATTACCATATATTGCCCAAGTGCGAATAATAGTTATGCAATATTCATATTTCCTAATGACTTGGATAATCGAAATGCACTTGTTAACATGCATGTTAGTTAATCGTATTAATACAAATAACATGTCAATGAATATATAATTTGATCAGTTCTCATTAAGTAATTATTACACTTATTGATCAGCATGTATACTGGACAATGAATGTCCATGACACTTAGATAGTATATGTCAATTTACATAATTGATATGCAATATATCATAACTATCTTGTAAAATGTTGAGATTTGCATAGTTATTAGTGCCATCACAGGCATCACACATGCATATTTACTAACTGAAACTTTTGTATATATACTTCACATTATATATAAAACGTGCAGGAATATGTATCTGTTATCTAACACAGCCCTCAATAAATCTGGCATCATCGTTTTTACTAAACGTCCTTCATCATAATGAAAAGAATAGATTGTGTGTACGGGGTTTTCTGCAAGATTATAAAAAGAAATGAATCATTTCAATTTAACATGCGTCTATTGCTATACTTCATATAACATGATTGGCCCATTTCCACCAATCAGACAGCAGGATGCTAATGTTAACGTAATTTGAAATGTCAACGTATTCATTTAGAAAGGGAAATTGTAGCAAGGAACTGCATAAAACTTTTGTAGCAAAAGTCTCATTGATTATATGTAAAATCAGAATCTGCGATGTAAGTGGAGATGATAAAAATACTCCTGTGTAAAGTGAATGAAATATTATTTGATGTTTACTGAACAAAAAACAATCATTTTTGACTCGTGCTGTTTTACAGAATCAAAATTAATGATATACTGAGGTTCACTCTACTGTAAAGTGCTTCATATTCACATATATTCGCGTTTTTCAATAAACAAGTTAAAATGTATATTGTCCTATATAAGTGAAAATAAGGTTCGCACAAAACAGCAAAAGTCAATTCCAGACAGTCACAATTTCTGTGTCGAGATTGATAATAAAATAAATATATAATCAACATGATTGCAGATATGTTAGAAGCCCATGACCTTTGTATAGGTTGCTTATCGTGCAATGATCTATGCTTGTAACAATGCTGATAATGGGATGTATATCATGATATGGTGAACAGATATCACAATATGATGAATAGATGACATACTACGGTTAAAGTTTATGATAAGGTGAATGGATATCATATATGAAAAGATATCATGATATGATGAATGCATACCACAATATATAGATCAGATATGATATGAATGGATGTCATGTAATACTGTATGAACGTTAATACAAGGCGAATAAACATCACAATATATCGAATGGTGTGATATATGGTTGTTGAATAACATGTGGTGTACAATGCAATATACAATATGATGAATTGGTATATGGTGAATTATTTTGTGTATATGTAATTTGCTACCCTATGGGGTGGATATCATGATATAGTAAAAGTATATCATGATATGGTGAATCGATATACATGTAGAGACTCAAAATCTTGTATAGGTCGATTGTCATTCATGCTTGTAACACTGCTACACCACTCCATCAGTGATTAAATGCATGACAATAAACGTGGCAATGGATATATAGCGATATGATTCTACCTCATGATATGGTAAAGGGATATGATACAGTAACAGCGATTGAATAAATAACATAAAAGTATGGTGATGGGATGAATTCCTTGATATGGTGAACATACATCACGATATGATGACTGAATGTCATGATATGATATGATATATGATAAATTGATACAATGATACGGTAAATGGATATTACAAATTGGAAATCATGGAATGCTGAATGAACATCACTATAAGATATATCATGGAGAGACATGGGCATATTGCTAGACGGTCCCTCTAATAGCCTGTAAACAAGAAGATAGAACAGTTCTGGTATAGATATGCCGGACTAGGTGATTGTCAGAGGTTTCTGGTTGTGGGGTAGCCTCCTCTGGTGGTCATTTTAAATGATCTCGAAAGGAGTATACACCCCTAGACTATCACTATCAATGACGAATAGCTTCCTGCGAGTTACTAGTACCATTAGATGTGGGGAATCAACTAAATTGTTTAAGGTGATAGACATAGTTTAAATAGGCAAGATCACTTAGCTACCGTGCACTACTAAAAGCATGTCTAAGTGCAGCAGAACCGATAAGACCAGCTCCAACAATACACAAGTTTTACTTTAATTTACTACTTCATTCATGACTGCGACTCAGAACTCTTTGAAAACTGGAAAATAAAATTGAATAATACATCTGCACCTCAATATTGGAACCATTGCACATTCTAGACAAATGAATATTTTTTAGAAAATTCAAATTTATATTTATAGAAACAAACTGGGTATATTTAATATATTATTAAGACTGGCCTTATATGCGTCATTGGCATATTTATCAGTGAATGGTTTAAATTGAGGGCACTCTCCTTATAACAATAAATTTGTTTTAACAATATTTTATTTCACCCATGTGTCCGTCATACGTTATTATATATAAAGTGATAATTAACGACCGGGGGATAGTGTTCTTCGCACAACATGTTTTCCAATTTCATGTTAATAAAAATGTATATTACCGCATTGTATAATGGACCTATATCGAACACTTGTGGAATAAATTTGACGATCAATAATCAGCTTTTTGTTACCTTTGATCTAGAACCATAAGAAATGACATTAATGAAACAATAAAGAAATAGACAAGGAATGATCAGCAGCCAATATACAATTTTGAAGACTGAAAGGCCCAGACATTTGTTATTCTTGTTACTGGTTACCACACACATTAGTCAAAAATAAGCAAAATAAAAGCACAATATTTGTAACCATTTTAAAAATAAACAAATAAACAAAATTTGGAAAATAAATTTGTTTTCCGGGCCTAATATTATTTAATGCTAGACGACAGTCAATACACAAACATAGTATCTGTCTTATCAATATTACTTTATCTCTAATTGCTTACACAGTCCAGGTGGAACACTACTGGCATTTTCTTTCTATGCTGGTGTCAACAACCTAACCATTATCCACCTAATAGTACATTATCACTCAATAATATCAACGTGTACTATCATAGAATGTAATATCATATCACATGGTAATGGGCAAACAGTCTTTTTACAATCAATAACAGTACTGTACAGTTAAACTTGTAAAATCAAATGTCATTATTAATTTACTTCCGCATGTTTTAAAATTATGTAAACTTCATATCCTATTAATTTATTTTCTGTGAAAATGTCAATGATACAATTGATCTGTTTTAGTTTTTACAACACATCAACTCAGAGATACATATTCACAAGAACATGAACAGTTCAAACCAACAGAAAGCCTGTAGAGGACGTTGTATTCTTCAGTGGTCACCTGACATATTAAATGAGGTTTTAAGTAGTTACACACAAATAGTTCTTTGTTTGCGCAGATGCTCGAGAATGTTTTTTGTGAATAGCACATTTCAAACAACAAAATACTCCCTGCCCCTCAAAACAATTGAACCATATCATGTTGTTGTCCAGAGATTCTGTTCCGTCTACATATCTGGCTATATAGATTATATAAGCACAATTACTGGTGTTTGTGCTGCATGCTGGGTAAAAAATACGTAGATTATTTGTTATGCAGTATTAGCTGTCAGCTAACAGTGAGATTACCTACCCGCACTTCTGGTTCCTTTGATCGACACTTATTAATACATCACCAGCGTTACATCATTTATTATGTCAGGTGACTACTGAAGAATACCGCGCCCTCTATATATTCGCGTTTGTTTTCAAATGTTTACGTTTCTCCATGATCACGCATCTATTCCTTTTTGTTCCGACTTTACGTGTTGCGGCAGAACATTGGCAGAGTAACAGAACAAGAGACAATTTCAAAAGTATCGAACCCTGTGCTATCACTATACATCATTTAAGATACGAGATTTTTCTCCTGATATAGATACAGAATGTCAATGAAAGTACCAAAATCCCCATTTGTATTCAGATATTTTATTCATTCTATCGTATTTATTCATGTAAATGTATTTTTCTGTAATATTATTTTTATGGCCCTGTGAAAAACAACCACTACTATATTGTAGATAGCTGACCGGATAACAATACACAAATTCACCAGCTATCCAGTATTTATTATGTCACAGCAATGTGTTGTTGCAGGGGGTGCATTTATGTGAACCAGTGTTGCATTAAAAATCTTTGCACACGAAATCTAATTAACATATTTAATGCTATATATAGTCATATGACCACATTAAAAATGCACAAATATCATGGCACTATTGAAGATCTGATGGTTTTGTGTCATGCCACATGTTTTTCGCTTGCATGGCCCAGAACAAAGACGAATTTTCTTTACTTTCTTTACAGTATAAATGCTGTTTTAACTCCCTGACTATTCGCAGCGAACCAAATTTATAAATGATCGACCACTCCCAATCACATGTTTTTCAAATCACAGCAATGAACTAGCTTTGTTTTTAAATTTTACTCTAAAACTATCAGGAGACAAATCATGATCCCATTTCCCAGCAATTATCATCCGTGCAGCCATATTCCCAATCTCATCAGCTGCACTAGCACCATGTCCATTACCACCAACTGCCACTCCCAGTGTAGGTGTCACCATATCACAGTACACATGGCCAGTCGGTGTAGTTGTTATAACGCAAGAACCACCATGTGTTGACACAGGCTTCACTCCTGGTAAAACATCGAAGACACACAAATGTTTAAGTAATTAGTATGCATACAAACAAATGAGTATGCATTTTCGGTAGATAAAATTAGCTAATCAGTGTGAATAATAGGTATGATTATTGGGTAATCTGAATGCAAACTGGTCAACATTCATGATAGTTAATCATACTAACCCAAATATGATAGTAATTAGTCAATGAATATGAATACACACTTATCAAATCGGCATGTATATTAGTTAATGGATATGCATGATAGTTAAACGTTATATATATATATATATATATATATATTCGATAAAATACATGCACAGTAGTCAATAAGTATGTAAATTTACCTAATTGATATGCAATGTATCCTAATAATCTTGTTAAATGCTGATTTGCATCGAGTTAATAGTTTTGATATTAGTGTCATCAGACATACTTACTTGATAAATGAAACTTTTTACATGTACTCAAATTCACATTTTTCTAAAAAGTGGAGGAATTTGAACTACCCACCTTTGACAATATCAAACATCATATCTAAAAGGGGTTTATGTGCTGACGCGTGTCCCTCAGTCCAGAACCAGTCTGCTACTTCTTTCTCTGTGTTGAGTACAGTGTTGAGTTTAGCACCATGTCCAATCTTTAGATAATATTTACCTGTGAACAAAATCAACCGTGTAACAAAAAGAGTAACATTGCTTACAATGTATTATATCATAATTGTATTGCATCGTATTATATTATATTATATTATATTATATTTTGGCACTACAGACATTTCAACACGTGTACAGACATGGTAACTTTATGCAGGATATGAAGCTGCATGCTGCATGTTTACAAGGTCTGATGGCAATCTAAGCTATTTTCACCTCCTCTAATTCACCTCCTCTCAGACAGCAAGCATTGTTGTTGAATGAATTTATCTAGTTTAATGTCATTGAGATTTATGCTAATATTAAAGAAGATGAAAACTGACCTGATCCTTTCTTAAAGCTATTGATGCAAAGATGCATGTTGTACATATTTATACTTATACATATAAAAAATACTATAAGTGCACTATACTATATCCTTACTCTTAAACAAGTTGAAATTAATTATGTTCATGTACACCAAAATACTATCAAATCTCAAACTGTGTATATGAATTGTCGTTGTAAATCTACTCCTCGTTAACCGATATAACATTATTGTGGGTCAACAAACTTGTAGCATATTGTAAAGATGATATGTTTCTGCTTTCATTAGTCTATATTTAGATCAAACGTGCAGTTGAAATCACCAACCATGATGACTGGTGTCTCATTTAGGGTATTGAAGTCATATTTTTTAATATAGGCTGTTAACATAGATGTTATCACATGACCTGGCATAATTGTGCAGCGTGAAATAGGTTAAGATTGGTAGATTTGTGAAAATAAAATGGGTACACCTACAACATTATTACTCATGTAAAACATGACAAACACGTTAAACAACCCTACATGTGGTTCCATATGACAGCAAGATATGTACTCTTGGAGCATACAGAACACATGGATGAGTAAACTGTTTGGCTGCAACATGACAGCCATAAACAATATACATTTTCTCATAAAACCACCTATACATTTACATTATTTAACACAAATCTGTCGACATGAACGATTTTACATGTTATAAGGTGGGTCTTTTATGCCAAAGTGACACATGTGTCACCTCTAATAATCGTTTTCGATATGAGACTCGTAGCGACGTACACAACCCGCGTAAAATACATTGTTTGTATACATGAAATTCGCAACGACCACCGGCCTTACGTAACTTGGCATTTCATGTTTTGGGCACAAGTTGATATACTGTGTACCTAGCTATCACTTCACTGATGCCAAGATAAATTAATTAAAGTTATTTTAACTATATAAAACTATAATTAAATAGCATTCAATTATAATTGTCTTTAATTAAATTGTATTTAAAATGTATTACCATGAAGGATTGGCATTTAATTAAATGGCAATCCATATATTGGCTTTATATTATAAAAAAAGTCGAACTAAATCCTACCGTTGGGGTATTTAATTGGTGGCAACATGTAAAGATCATGATTTCCTTCTTTTGTATATTTCCGTCCTATAGTTGGCATGTCTGTCAATCTCTTAGCATCTTCTGGTGTCAGCTCTGCGAAGGCCTGAGTCTTAGAATATAATGTAACGTCTAACTCCTTGCCAGGTGGTAACAGATGTCTGAATGAAGTGAAGGCACCTGTAGTTAATAGCACTTTCCTAGCACGCATGATGTGGCCTTTATGTGTAGTCAACTTTAACACATTGTCGACAGTTGATTGGTTACATTCAGTCACATGATTAATGATGTCATCAATGATGTCACATCCTTGCTGTCGAGCAGCTGTTTGCTGTGCTAATACCTGTTTCCTTCCACTGACGTATCCAGCGTGATTTAACTCAAGTATGGCCTCGTCGTTTGGGCGCATCGACAGATAATCATACCGCTCAGTGAGTTCAGTTTTATCAAGAATGTCAAATTTCTTTCCAAATTTCACTGCCATGTCTTTCATAACTGAAGTGTATTGATGTCCCTCTTTCACACTAATCATCATAAAGCCAACATCTGTGAAAAAGCGTGTTCCTGCAGAAAACAATCATATCAAATGGTTTCTACAAGATTATGTAATTGTCGCTAAATATTAGGGTAATACAAATCAAACTGCGACTTGTTTCAAGAAGCATCATGCACGCTGTATAAACTAATAAACGAATATGATATTTAAACTACAAACTAACTTCAACCTGATTTCTGCATTACATTAACATATAAAATATTGTACCTTAATATTAAAATATCTTTAAATAATTAGGGGTTGATATTATCTATATCATTATCAGATATCATTGTCTCCATATAGATAGATACATAGACATACGAAACAAAAATAAATAGCAAGACATACCAGTTTGTTGTTGAATTCCCTCATATCGTGATATTGATCTGTTATCTAACATAGCCCACAATAAATCTGGCATCATCGTTTTTGCTAAACGTCCTTCATCATAATGAGAAGAAAAGATGGTGCGTTCGGGGTTTTCTGCAAAATTCTAAAATGAAATGATTCAATTCAACGTGCACCCATTACTATACTTCATATTACATGGCTGGTCCATTTCCACATTTCATGAAACACACTGATATGTATGATGTATGTGCCAAATATGAATGAAAATGGTACATAAATTGTGGAAATATAGTAGTAAGGCCAAAAATTCAGATGGCTGTCAATTGGCCATCCTTGACAAGATTTTGAAACAAATTGTCATGGACATGCATCCTAACATGTATAAAGTACATGTATGTGCCAAATTTGAATGAAAACTGACAGAGCACGTCCAAGATACCGCATAAAAAAACAAGATGCCTGCCAGTCGACCATCTTTGATCCAATTGCGAAATAAATCGTCATGGACATGTATTCGAACATGTATAATCTATGTACCAAGTTTGAATGAAAACTGACAAAGCATGTCCAAAATACAACATTTTCAAAAAACAAGATGGCTGCCAGTCGGACATTTTGAATCAAATCGCTAAACCACTGCATGTGCATATGTCCCACATAAGGTACTAGGCACATGCAAAGAATGAACGGAATCGGTCCACAGGATTCTGAAATACTAGTATGACTCTGGAAGACTGACCCACGGACGGATGAACACACGGACGGACGGACAGACTCAGGAACTCACGGACCGTCGGGGACATGTTTCTAACATGTATGATCTATGTACTAAATTTGAATGAAAACTGACGAAGCAAGTCCAAAATACATTTTCAAAAAACAAGATGGCTGCCAGTCTGCCATCTTTGATCCAATTGTGAAATAAATCGCCATGGACATGTATCCTAACATGTATAATCCATGTACCAAGTTTGAATGAAAACTGAAAAAAGCATGTTCAAAATACAACATTTTCAAAAAACAAGATGGCTGCCAGTCGGCCATTTTGAATCAAATCGCTAAACCACTGCATGTGCATATGTCCCACATAAAGTACTAGCCACATGCAAAGAATGAACGGAATCGGTCCGAGGGATTCTGAGATACGACTACAGACGGATGCACGGACGGACGGAGACCGAATTATAAGTCCCCTTTTCGGATTCGTCCGAACAGGAACTAAAAAGACGTACATATACTTGACTAATAAACAGGAAGGCCTACACTATAAATCATGGCTTTTCGATTCAAAGCTGTTGATTTCAAACTGAAATTGAGAACTGGATAATATATTGGCTTTACCAAGTATTGAATTGATATAAAGATGAATACATAGATATGAATGATAAACCAATATTGTGAATAGAAATCATGTACTTGAATTAATAAACCAATATTGGGAATGGATATGATATTGTAAATTAGTATAAGAATATATGAAAAGATATATGGTGTATTGATGTAAGGCAGACATCAATTTAATACCTCCAATTGTGCCCTTTGCATTGGGTTATAAAATACTGTACTGCTTACCACAGGTTCTTTGGGTCCAATTAAGCATATTTTAGCAGCTGGTGATATAATAGTTGCATGTCTTGCTGCAGCAGAACCGATAAGACCAGCTCCAACAATACACAAGTCATATACTACTTCATCCATGACTGCAAATCAAAACTATTTGAAAACTGGAAAACACAATTAAATAACGCTTCTGCATCTCAATATTGAAAGCAATGCACACTCCAGACAACTGTATATTTTTAGATAATTTAAATTTATATATACAGAAAAAAACTGGGTAGGTTTTACATGTTATTGTATATAAAGTCTGGGCCTTCTATGCGTCATTTGCATATTTATCAGTGAATGGTTTAATTGGGGCACTCTCCTTAAAACAATAAATTCATTTAACAATATTTTATTTCACCCATGTGTCCATCATACGTTATTACACACAAAGTGATAATTAACGACAGGGGGATGATGTTCTTTGCGTTTACCAATTTCATGTTAATAAACAATGTATATTACGCGCATTGTATAATACAGTCATATCGAACACTTATGGACTTGATATGATGATCACAAATCACCTGTTTGTTATCTGCAACCAGGAAGCCGCATAAATGACATTAATGAAACAATAAAGAGATAGATAAGAGATGGTCTGCAGCATATAAACAATTTTGAAGACTGAAAGGCGCGGACATTTTTATTCTTGGTACTGTTCACCACACACATTAGTTAAAAATAATTAAAATAAAAAAGCACAATATTTGTGACAATTTTGAAAATAAAAGGCCTAATATTATTTAATGCAAGACGACAGTCAATACACAAACTTGGTCCTACTTTATCTCTAATCGTTACCTGAACAAACTGAACGCCACATACCTGGTCCAGTTACACAGACCAGGTGAGACACTACTGGCAATATTCTCTATGCTGGTTTCAACTACCTCCCCATTACCCACCTAATAGTATATACATGTACTGGCACTTAATAATATTTATGTGTACTATCACTATACCATATGGTAATGGGCAAACGGCCTTTTTTACAACAGTAATGTTGTAAAATGTAAAATCAAATGTCATTATTAATTTAGTTCCGCATGTTTTGAAATTATGTAAACTTCATATCCTATTAATTTATTTTCTGTGAAAATGTCAATACAATTGATCTGTTTTAGTTTTTACAACACATAAACTCGACGAAATACGCATTCACAAAAACATGAACACTTCAAACCTACAGTAAGCCTGTAGAGGGCGTTGTATTCTTCAAAGGTCAACCGACATGTTTTAAGTAGGTACAAAATGTACAACAAAAATAGATCTTTGTTTGCGCCGATTTTCAAACAACAAAATACTCCCACGCCCCTCAAAACTATTGCATCATATCACGTTGTTGTCCTGAGCTCCTGCGCCGTCTATATTAGCCCTGCGTACAGTGCCGTG